ATGAGATCATATTATGCATGAGATCATATTATACATGAGATCTTATTACACATGAGATCATATTATACATGAGGTTGTATTATACACGAATAAATACAGTAAACTCGTGTAAAACACAGCTCTCCTAAATATTCTGCAGCATGAATTAGAGTTTGGAGGTGGAGCCGGCCTGGAGTCCAAAGTGAAGAATAATAAACTTAACTACATTTTACTCATAAAGACCCTCGGCCACGTTCAGCTCGTCTGTACAGAGACAGAAAAAAAACGCACAGAAGAAGAATTTGGAACGACAACAAACCAACAAACAGTGCAGATGGATTGTGTACTACACACAGTTGTATCTCTGTGTAAACACTGGGTTTAGGCAACAAGCAGCCTTTCAGAGACACTGAGCCATGAACACACGCCCTCCTCACCACTATTTTTAGCTCCACGGCCCGGAATGTTTGGATTTGTGTTAACACCACMACTGAACGGCTTCCCTGCCTCTCCCCTGATGAGACCGCCTGATGTTTCCAAACCAGCTCGACAAAACAACCCAAATCACTTCAAGACGGACTGGATCTGATCCAGGTTTCTCCTGAGGTCTCGGTAAAAGAGGAACTGGCCCAATGAGGGATTATTGAGAGTGCAGAGCCTGGAACAGGCTCAGTTGTTGTTCTGAACACAGAAGAAGCGAGGGGCCCATTTGTCTTTCAGCTCAAATGTTGAATAAAGTCTGTTTTGACTACCAAATATAGTCTTTGGTTTATTCTGAGCAGACTGTGGACAGAAAGAGGAAACCCCGTCACATGATGCAGAACTGAACCAGAACCAGCCGAGCCAGAAAAACCTTCAACAAGACCATTCCCAGTTTCTACACAGTGCTACGAGCTGAAACTGAATGATTAAATAATCAGAGCAAAGCTAAGACCAGCAKAACACTGGCTAACATTTCAAATGAGCAAAACAGCAGCTACAAGCTAAAGTTAGCTCAAAGCTAAAAAAAACTATAAAACCTAAATACTGTATAATATAAATAATAAGACTTTTATCAAACCAGATTAGTCAATTAAAAGCAAATTCTTATTTTCTATAAGAACCTGACCAAATACTAAAAGCAGCTGAAAAGTAGCTACAAGTTTAAATCAGCTAAACAGCACAATAACTACAATGAAACGTCACTAAAAATAGCAAAAAGMTGATTAAAAACAAAAACAGTACCTAAAGGTTAACACCATAAAAAAGGTAGCTTTAGATTTGAACCAGAAAAACACGAGCTAAAAAAGAAGCTAAAACTAAAAACAAAACATTAATTAAAATGAACTTATTAAACAGCCTTCATGTCCTGTATGAGCTGAAACTGTTGAGGTATAAATGGGAGTAGTAGCTGAAGTAACAGCTGAAGTAACAGCTGAAGTAACAGCTGAAGTAGTAGCTGAAGTAACAGCTGAAGTAATAGCTGACGTAATAGCTGAAGTAATAGCTGAAGTAATAGCTGAAGTAGTAGCTGAAGTAATAGCTGAAGTAATAGCTGAAGTAGTAGCTGAAGTAGTTACTGAAGTAGTTGCTGATGTAGTAGCTGAAATAATAGCTGAAGTAGTTGCTGAAGTAATAGCTGAAGAAGAAGCTGAAATAATAGCTGAAGCAGTTGCTAAAGTAGTAGCTGAAGTAGTTTCTGATGTAGTAACTGAAGTAATAGCTGAAGTAGTAGCTGAAGTAGTTTCTGATGTAGTAACTGAAGTAATAGCTGAAGTAGTGGCTGAAGTAGTTTCTGATGTAGTAACTGAAGTAATAGCTGAAGTAATAGCTGAAAAAATAGCTTAAGTAGTAGCTGAAGTAATAGCCAAAGTAATAGTTGATATAGTAACTGAAGTAATAGCTGAAATAATAGCTGAAGTACTAGCTGAAGTAATAGCTGAAGTAATAGCTGAAGTAGTAGCTGAATTAATAGCTGAAGTAGTAACTGAAGTAGTAGTTGAAGTCATAGCTGAAGTTGTTGCTTAAGTAATGGCTTAATTAATAGCTGAAGTAGTAGCTGAAGTAGTAGCTTAATTAGTAAGTGATGTAATAGCTGAAATAATAGCTGAAGTAGTAACTGAAGTAATAACTGAAATAATAGTTGAAGTAGTTGCTGAAGTAATAGCTGAAATAAAAGTAGTTGCTGAAATAATAGCTGAAGTAGTTGCTGAAGTAGTAGCTGAAATAGTAGCTGTAGTAATAGCTGATTTATTTGCTGAAGTAATAGCTGATGTAGTAACTGAAGTAATAACTGAATTAGTAGCTGAAGTTATAGCTGAAGTAATAGCTGAAATAATAGCTAAAGTAGTTGCTGAAGTAGTATCTGAAGTAATAGCTGAATTAATAGCTGAAGTAATAGCTTAGTAGTTGCTGTTGTAGTAACTGAAATAATAGCAGATGTAATAGCTGTTGTAGTCACTGAAGTAATAGCTGAAATAATATCTGAAGTAGTAGCTGAAGTAATAGTTGAAGTAGTAGTTGAAGTAGTAGTTGAAGTAGTAGTTGAAGTAGTAGTTGAAGTAGTAGTTGAAGTAATAGCTGAATAAGTGAAGTAATAGCTGATGTAGTAATTGAAGTAGTAGCTGAATTTGTGGCTGAAGTAGTAGCTAAATTTGTGGCTGAAGTAGTAGCTGAATTTGTGGCTGAAGTAGTAGCTGAAGTAGTAGCTGAATTTGTGGCTGAAGTAGTAGCTGAAGTACTGTAGTAACTGAAGTAATAGCTTAACTAGTAAGTGAAGTAATAGCTGAGGTAGTTGCTGAATTTGTGGCTGAAGTAGTAGCTGAAGTATTGTAGTAGCTGAAGTACTGTAGTAGCTGAAGTACTGTAGTAGCAGAAGTCCAAAAACATGCTGACCCTGTAAACGAGGGGAGATGATAAAGAATCCCTGACTGAGGTGGTGGCTCAGATCTTCAGACCCTCCTGGACCGATCAGAACCTGGTCCTGGTTCTGGGGTGATCCAGATCCTTTCACATGTTTCCATGTTGATGGAACATTATCAGGTTTATGAAACCAGCTGGAAAAACAAGCAAAATGTTTTGCAAAGATCTGAAGTTGTGGCTAAAAGAGAACAGATTCCTTGTTGCTCAACGACATGCCGTCTGTGCCCAGAGTGAACGCTGCTGCCACAACTGTTTAATCCTTTTATTGAGTCGTTGTGTAACAGAGCAGATTTACTAACTGAGCTCTGAGAGCCGGACTTCTGAAAACCCACAGTCCAAACAGCAGTCTGCTACATCTGCTGCTGCTTTCACATCTCACCTCCCATTCACCATTCTAACAATTATTATTATTTTTTATTTTATTATTATTATCATGACTTATTGTTGCTATTATTATTATTATTATTATTATTATTATTATTATTGTTGTTGTTGTTGTTGTTGTTGTTGTTGTTGTTGTT